GACTCGCAATCTGAGTTTCAATCCCTGTCCCACCAAACATGCTCGCCCCTTCAACCGTGGGGCCGTTATAATGTGACGATCAATCCCACTATTCGTTGGTAAAAGAGTAGCCCAAGAGTTGGCGGTGGGTGGTGATGACTAGCTGCCTTCCCTCTAGTCTTACACTGCTAAATTAGGGACGGCTAGCGCAGATAGCCCTCGTGTAGCTTTGCGCGAAATTCCAAAACAAACAAACAAAAACATTATTAGTCTCAAAGCGGGTTCTTCGTCATCGAATTTGAATTCATCACGGCGATTAATCGAGGTTGCGTAAGTCTAAACATTTATCTTTGTTATTCCAAGTATAACTTTTTAAGTATGTTCTCTCACCAATCCACTACCATAAACCAATCATACCGTGAAACTACGTAACCTGAATATAAAAATCATCAAAAAGAGAAACGATATTTCCTTCCTCAGACAGTGCCGCTCTGAAAAGCTAATTCCTAAATTTGTGAAGGTCAAGTTATCGAAAAACTTAAACCAGTTTTCAGGTACCTGATGATGACAAAACCTTGTCGAAACGTTGTACAATTGCTGTTATGTTAAACTTATATTAAAGTTTTTCTTCATTACCCATTCAAGCCGTCTCCAGCCATCATTAATTTCAATGTTTGTTCAAGTGATATATTGCTCGTGAGAGCTTAGCAAAATATCATTTAAAAAACGTTCAGGATGGTCGAAAATACTTTTAATGTGTGACAAGTTCCCACTCTTCAGGATTATAAAAAAGTGATAAAATTCATCTTGTTCCAAATTTACACTAACTTTACTACTTTCAATGTAAGCACATAAGAAAGAGGGCCACTCGTGAGCATAGGCGCTAATCGCGTGCGCGGGGGGGGGGGATTTGAGATAAGACTTTTCCGCCCTTCGCAGCGAGGAAGGACAATATGTATTGTCTTACGTTTTACTATTACATTATTTCTTTTAAAAAATGTGGATTTGTGTTAAGAATAAAATTATAAAATCCTGGAATTCTAACAGGCTAACTCTTGTTATAAAAACAACCACAAGAACGCATAAAATGTCTTCTCTCGTCTTTTTTTTCTGTCCAAAAATGCAGAAGTGACTTGTTTGTTATTTTATCATGGATGGTAAAAAAGGTAGATGTTACTATTAATTTAGGCCTGTATATTCAATTTTTTAAAAAGTTACAATATCGTATAATGTTTTAGTCGAAAAATATATGTATGATAGTAATTATCTGCTCCTGGACTCTCGTAAGAGGTTCACACCCCAAAATGCAATCTGAAATACATCCCGCCATCCCTTACAGTACAAATCGACGTCTTATTTGTAAGGTCTGTGGAGCATATTGTGGGAACTTTTAAAGGACCTGAATTCGCAACCAATACATTAGCTTGAGGAATATTTGGTTTGACATAACTTGGTTTAGTATACTGTCCGTTAGCAGAGGGAATCTTGAAGACTGGTCGAAAATTTACGTGTGGTGATAAGAAATTTCTCATTAATTTTGGCATGGGTCAAAAATCTGTCTGGAATGAGGAAGATGAGCAGTTTAACCGTGATGGTACTGCGCAAACTTTGAAGAATTCTAATGGGGGCGTCATGGCGTGAGCTGAGTTCTATGAATTGGACATGGTACCTATCTTTGAAGTGGCCGCAGTTTTAAATGGATGTAGAAATTAATGAATTTTAAAGAAAGATGTTTCAGAGGTCATAACGAAGTTTCTGGTCAGCAAATCAATATATTGGTTTAGCTAGATAATGTTCCCTGAACCCATGCATAGTTTCAAAATAATATTTTTTTGTTGGGGGGGGGGGTTGTACACACAAATCCCAAATCCTAGTCGTATAACACTTATTTAATATCATCTGGGAAGTTTAATTCAAACGTTTAGACAGCAGCCTTCCAGTCATCATCCATTAGCTAAGCTTATGAACCAATAATAGAGACATATGATACAAGATACTGCTAGAACCCAGCTAAGAACATCACCTTACAGAACAGTAACAGCTATATAGGCAAAAAGCTGTGTTATGTCGTATTTCGACAGCAATCGCTAAGAAAATCTCATTAATTATATGTCCGGATACTTTTATTGAGGCAGTTTGTAGATAGAATTCAAAGCAAAATTAATCTTCTGTTACGCATGGGTGGAGTTCAATATACATATTTATATATTCTTAAAAGACCCATAACGCCACCATATTTTACATCTATCACTTCGTTACAAATTGGTGACATTTTTGAACAAAAAAAAAAAAAAAAAATGAAGCATCGTTGTAACGGCCTTTAAACTTTAAGTTTTAAACGAATAAACAAAAACTATGCACTAACATTATTTGGAGTAGTGCCACACATTTACTTTCAACATTTTGTAAGGTTAGTCAGATTTTAAGGAGTACTTTAGTTGCTAGGAGATGCTGTTTAATATCTTAGTTTAAGGACTTTCTTCTGAAAACAAAGTCAAATTAACTACCGTGCCTAAGTTTATTACAGAGGTTTATTTCAGGCCCTTTGTTTATAAAGCTATGTTTGTATAGCTCTAAGATCATAGCGTTAAATGGCACAATACTAAGATCAAAGTGGTTATTATAATCTCCCCCACCCGCCAAATGGCTTAGCGGTAATTCTAAGGATTTATAAATCTTAAATCGAGTTTCGATAATTGTGGTGGGCACAGCACAGATAGCCCATCATATAGCTTTGCGTTAAGCAAACTAACCAGGATTCTGTATAGAATTTAAATTACGAAAATAGTTCCATTCCAAATCAAATAAAGGGTGAAAATATCCTGTTCTGTTCTCATATCGTAAGTCTGTTTTAGTTTCTTACGAGTGTTTGTACAGTTTTTTTATTAGATTTTGTTTGTTTGTTGTTAAGCGCAAAGCTGCACAATGGGCTATATGTGTTGTGCTCCTTGCGGGAATCGGACCTAAAATTTTAGCGTTATAAGCCCTAAAGCTTGCCATTGAGTCATCGGGTGGGATGGAGCTGAATGGTTCGAAAGAAAATTTACCCAATCATTCTAGATTGCCTCAGCTATCACGCCACTTTCATTCTCAGGACAACAGCCGAAAGTTTGAATAATTTCAAGTTTAAAATAAACCAAAAACATACGCTAAATGACCGAGCCTTTAATAATCACGTAGACCACTGTTAATGTTGAGATAATTACAACATATTTAAGCGCCCCTCAGTGGCACAGCGGTATGTCTGCGGACTTACAACGCTAGAAACCGGGTTTCGATACCCGTGGTGGGCAGAGCACAGATAGCCCTTGTGTAGTAGCTTTGTGCATAATTAAAAACAAACAAACAAACAAACAAACATATTTAAGCAATTTTATCCAAGTCCACGATTATCGTTACTTTATTTAAGCAAATTAGGAATTTTGCAATGTACAAAAAAATCGACCTTACGCTATTAGGTGTGTTATTACAAAAACGAAATAACATGAATCTTGTTAAAAATATAGTACAAGAAGGATTTCGATCGTATTCAAAGCTAAGCAATGTGTTATTTTCATTTTATTACATATGAAGTGGATTAATTTTTTTTGTAAAATTAGAAGTTATAGTTTGGAATAATTATACAAATTAGGCAAGAAAGTCTTATCTAATTTAACTAAATCGAAACAGTGTCAAAAAATGTGGACGTGTATAATGATGAATGCTTAGACAAAAAACGAATAGGTGTAAATTAATTCGTGGAACTTTAAAAAATAGGTCGATAATATTTCATATCAATATACCATATCATTTAATATAATCAATGAAAATATATTCTCAAACTTAAGTTCA